GAATATCTATTCACAAGATATGTGAGGGTCTTCCCTGGTGGCCTAGTGGTTAAGTTCGGCACACTCCTCTTCAGCCCGGGTTCAGTTCCTGGTGCTGACTTACACTACTCGTCTGTCAGTGGCCATGCTATGCTGTGGCAGCTCACATACAAAAAGAGGAAGATTGACAGCGGATGTTAGCTCAGGGTGAATCTTCTTCCACAAAAAAAAGATTGTGTGATTTTTGTTCTTGAAACTATTAATATGGTGACACTCATTAATACGCTTTCAATGTTTAAAATATGAAAGAAAAGTCCGTATATTGCTGGAATAAAACACAGTGCTTTATACTCCATGATTTATCAGGTGAGATTTGTAAAAGTCTTTCATTTTGAACCCTTGTGGAAAATAGGCAAAGGTGGCATATTTTTCAGTTTCTATAATGAGGCTACCTGACAGCTTTGAATACCTGAGAAATTTAAAGTCGCCTCTTTACAGTCAAATACCAGTGTGGCTCTTGACCTATGGCAACACTTGCAAATGAGGTCATCGCATATTGAGCCAACCAACCACTCTGAGAGGAAAGATGAGCTGCCAAACCTGAAAATGCTGGTTCAAATGTCTTGTTTTTATGCACATCTAGTAATTTGACTAACCAGTAAGCTATTCTTCATCATTTACAATTTTTCTAAAAGTTTGGTACTTTAGATAACACTGTGGATGAATACTGAGGAAAGGATATCTGAGTATATCTAAGAATATTTTCCTAGCGATTTTTTTCATTCTTTGCCCTTATGTAAAGTCCTAGTCAAGGAATACCTGTGACATGACACTATCAGTGTTCTCACCCAGGAGTCTCATTATTTTAATCATCAAATGACTGTCAACAATCATTTAAATATACACCATAAGTATATTTTTCTTTTTTATTTATAAATTACTTAGCATGTTTGTCTGTCTTAAATATAAAGATGTCTATTTTTTTCAGAATCCAGAGCATCATTTTTTCATGAGCTGAACCTTAGTGTATCATCTTGACCATTTCCTTTCGGAGACAGGTGTTGTAGCCTCGGGTTTAGTTATGTTCCTATCACTGGTGCTATTACAGACACAACTCAGCACTTGAGTATATGCGACACAACGCCCGGAATGTTGAATGTGAACTCTTTGGTCCAATTATCTCCTGAAGGAAAGGTCTTCTGTTCCTATTTCATCATTATTGCATAGAAGCACCATGATTGTTCCTGGTAGTTGAATTGTTATGATGGTAAACACCTACATCTTAGGGCTGATGCCATGACAAATACGGACAGATAGTAAGTGTTGAAACCTTTTGCCTCTGACAACCAGGACAATATTACCATTTGTCCAGAGACAGAACAGGCCTCAGTCATCTCAGGTGACATTTTGTGACATGGCCATAGACTTCTCTTATAAAGAGGGTCAATGGCTAGATTCTGCTCACAGAGATTTATACACGCATGTGGTTGTGCAAGACTTTGAGCACCTGTTACTTCTAATCTTCTGCCACTCTCAGTTTCCAGGGAGCCTCCTAAGTGAATGTCTGAATTTCTGTTCCATGTTCCCAAGGAAATGAGCAGCTTCACTGTGCTATTTCTGGAGCTTATCGTCCCATTTCAGTAGCATCCTTCAATTTTTTCTCTAATCTTTCTGTGGCGGCCTCTCTTCCCTGAGTGCTATAGCTTTGTAGGACTAAGGCACATGGGGTCCTCTTACTGGAGGAAGGGAAAGAGCCCTGGAGGCTGGTGGTAAAAACTTTCAAAAGGTATGTTTCCAGTTGAGGTGAATTAGGCAAGAAAAATCTGTAGAAACGATCCTTGCAGGAAATGTGAAGACATTTTAGGATGTTGTAGGGCCACTGTATTCCAAGATCCCAGGTGAAAAGGAAGTTGAGGGATCTTCAGCATCCGTTCCAAAAGGACCATTCATTTTCCCATCTCCACTTACTATCTGTCTGGATCTGTCATGGTGTCCACTCTAAGGTGTAGATGTTTACCATCATAACAATTCAAAGAGGTATTTTAAATGCCAAATTACCTTCTTAAGTCCACTTAAGGAAAATCTGTTACTGGTTTTTGACTAAGAAAAGCTGTCAATTAGATGGAAAATCACTTTTTGTCTACAGCTGAAATTCACAGACCAGATAGGAACATAAGTGTTGGAGGAAGTGGAGAGCACAGAAGCTGGTTTCCGGGAACAGCATTTTCCAATATCCAAGAAATGACCATGTGATTTCACAGACCCTCCATAAATGCTGGAGGTCTAAATCTTTGTGAGCCCAAGGAGCATTTATTTATATTAAGAGTCTTTTGTTAGCATTCCTATTGTTTTTCATTAGTGCAGTACCATAAATTGTCCCTTTTAAGCAAATTAAAATGCTAGTAAATTCCTGTTAATTTTAGGTTGGACAACCAAGGCAGTGAGACAAAGTGTCAGCTTTCACAGGAATATAGGCTTTATAAAGGATGGCTTTGAATCCAGAATGCCTTTGTCAGTTTCTGATTCTACCATTTTTCACACACTAATTGCTTATTTTTAACATATTCCCAATTCTCACTCTCTATTTCTCCCTCTCTGTATAGGCTGTATTCTCTGTGCTTCTCTGCTGTGTTTAGAAATCATTGAGATATCTGAGTGGAGGGGGGCTGTAATTTGTGCCATTTTCTAACTTCCAACATAGCAGTTTCTTTTCAAGAAATACAGGGGAGGGGCCCAGCCCTGTGCATCAGTGGTTAGGGGCGCACGTTCCACTTGGGCGACCCGGGGTTCGCCAGTTCCGATCCCGGATGCGGACATGGCACTGCTTGGCAAAAAGTATAGAGTGTAGAAAGTAGAGGAAGATGGACACGGATGTTCGCTCAGGGCTAATCTTCCTCAAAAAAAAAAAGGAAAGAAATACAGGGGAAAAGGCAGTGATTTGCTTCGTTGCTATATTTCAGGTTGGAGTACAAGATCGAAAATCAATGAATATCGACACGGGAGGATATTTATTTATAAAGGTGATTCATCCCAAAGGTTAGTATAGAATAAAAATTAGAAAGTAGTTTCTTAATTCTTCCAAGTTTCACAAGGACTGGGACTAGGTAGTGCAGTTGGTGGGCGTAGGGAAAGCAGGTGCAACCTTCCTGACAGTGCCCCTCGCCTTTGCAGAGGGCCCCAGTGGGGAAGGTTAATACAGTGAATACATGTGAATGCAATATGTTTGCCCTTCTCTTGACGACACAGCTCAACCTCATTTCCCAGCCCCCAGCACACAAGGGTGTCCAAATGACTAGTCCTTGTCAACAGAAGGTGATTGGAAGTCACCTGTGTGGAAGTGATGTGACTCTTCCACTTCGCTCTGGTTTCCTCTTGTTCAGCTGATGCCAGAGAAGCATTAAAGCCACTTGTTGACAATAGAAGGTGCCTTGGGCCCTGAATCACCGTGTGGTGCAGAGCTTCTTGCTGACGCATGCGGACATACCTAAGGAGGAAAAAACCTCATCCTGTGCTAGCCACTGAGATATTGTACATTTGTGAAAACAGCTATGTTTAACTTAGGTTGACTTATATCTCGAGGTACGGAGACCATACAACTCTTCCAGGGTCACAAGGCTGCTGGGGACAAACCCAGGTGATAAGCCTCAGCAGTTAGATCTCAGAGCCTGACTCCTACCTGAAGCAAACCACTCCTCCCCTGGTACAGTGAAGAGTGGATTGGGGCAGAAGCGCAGAGGGACCACAGGCCACGGGGCTCCATAGCCACCCAGATCTCTAGGGAGGTCACAACAACAAACTACCTCTGACTGGCAGAAGCAGGGGGGCCCTTAACTGTCTGCAGACTGCAGTGCCTCACGCCTACTTGCCTCTGGTCCAGCCATGCGGGGTCGATACATACAGAGAAACATGACACACTTAATAATTGCCTAAAGACATATTTTCTATGCAGATTGCAATCAGTCTGCCCTAAACAACAAATACTACAACTGAGACAATTCAGAACTGATTGCACATTTATCGTAATTTTAAATATTAAGATGTGTGATAAAGTTATTGGAGTTATGAAAAAACTTAGATTTGAGTAATACATTGTGAAGAGATTATGCATTAAAAATACATGCTGTCTATGATTATAAGTGAAATAATATACTAATGTGCATGGGGTAGATGAAACAAGCCCTACTGTGAAGAGATAAATAATGATGGAAAATTGCAAAAACACGCAGGCACTGTCCTATACCAAAACAGCGTTTATTTGGTTATTCTCTTTTTGAGGTGGATGTCAGATTCCAAAAGGAATCGAATATTTCTCAGGATGTGGAGTAAGGCGTATTAAGTAGGTAAAAGTGTTGCTCCATGAATTGGAGACAATATTTAACTACAGGCAGGAGACCAGCGTTCTGTGGGAAGCACTGTCAGAGATCCATCTGTGTGCTCCTGCATCAAGGGGGCCAACATCCTTCCTGTGCCTGCCTTGTTTGGAGTATTTCTTCTGTCCTGAGCAAGCATACTCAGACTGACAATACGATAATGTTTATCGGATGTAGTTTCCAGTGACTCTGTTATGTGTCTGCATCACTCCATGCAGTAGTATGTACATTTGGATTGATGGCTGTGACGGCATCTGGAAGATATTTGTAGACGCTGGGAACATGGTGAGCATTAGTCTGAAATAATGTCTCCAAACCGTTGGACGATCAGTTACAGACAGTTCTCCAACATCTGAGGACGGCCCCTTGACCAAGCCGAGCCCCTCCGCAGCCTCTGGAAGAGAGCTGCCGTTTCCCAGCGCCCCTTGCGGCGTGGCTTCCCTCTTACTCCTGAATGCTCCCTACAAACTCCTGGTGGCTCCCGGCAGTTCAGTGGGAAATGAATTACCCAGAAGGCTGTGCGAGTGGGGTCATCGCCCGTCAGCCAATCAAGGCAGAGAAGCCGCGTTTCCGCGGCAGGCGGTGCCGTCAGGCGCGACTTGCAATAACCGCATGGTGCGCGTCGTTCAGTGTGCTGCGGTGTTCCCGCAGGTTGGAGGCTCCGGACCGCCTGTCAAGGCTGAGGGGACAGACGAAGAGGCGTCGCCCCGTGGCCCAGGCGGCTTTGAGACTCGGCGACGCAGCCCGGCGCCTCGTCTGCCACCGCTCCCGGCCCCGCTCCGCCCCCGAGGCCGATGGCGGCGGCCCCGCGGAGGGAGCCGGCTCAGGTGAGCGCTCGGCTCTGGCCCGCCCCGCCCGCAGCGCAGCCCGAGCTCCAGCCCTCCTGCAGCCCAGGCCCCGGGGCCGGGCCGGGGAGGCGCTCGTGGGGCCTGTGGCTGCGGACGGGGTCCCGGGCCGCGGGGCCGGGCAGAGGGGACCTGGGTCCGCGTTGTATTCTAGGGAACAGTGTGAGGGGGGTTCCAGCCTGGACCGGCAGGGGAGGGGCTGCTCCTTCAGTCCGAGGGCCCGGAGCCGGGAGGGCTGTGAACAGAGAGGGACGCGGTGCGTGTTGGGGTTTAAAAAGTTCTCCAGGCGCTGCTCGGAGAGAACGGACGGGAAGGGGTGAGGAGGCCGGGGAGGCGCAGGGAGCGGAGTCCTGGTCCGAGGGCGCAGAGCTGGTGCTCCTGAGGGGCTGATGTTGAGAAGGATCAAAGGTGTAGAGGAAGCCTTCAGAGCAGCACTTGGGGATTTCCTTAAATGCAGAGCTGGGAGTGCAACTGTGGGCACTGAAGACGTGAGAGGTACAATCTACGGAATGACATGCACATTGACAGGAAGCGTGAGCCGATGGCCCTCGGGCCCTGGTATTGGAGACTGAAGGGTGAAGCACAAGCTCATGTTTGGCTGTGTCTTGGAGTCCAAGTCTAGAGTCTCCAGGGGAATTGACTGACAGGGTGGATGAGACCCTACATGCCAGGACCAGAGCTTGGATGAGGTCTCTGTGCCCCCCTGCCTGATGTTTCTGAGGGCTGAACACAGTGAATAAAGGGACCCTGAGGATAGGGTGGGCCTCAGTGGCACCTGGCCTGGAATTCCTCTGAGGTGGGGAGCCGTGGGGGAGGATGAGTGTGTGGTGAGATGGATTGTGGGATCTCAGAGAGAGTGTTGATGGTTTCATCTGTCCCCGTCATTACAGGACAGTGTGACATTTCACGATGTTGCTGTGTACTTCTCCCGGGGGGAATGGAGGCTCCTGGATGAGGCTCAGAGACGCCTGTACCTGGATGTGATGCTGGAGAACTTTGCGCTTTTATCCTCTCTGGGTAAGACTCTCACGGCCTCGCCAGTGAGCTGGACTAAGCTGTATTCCCTCCCCACAGCCCTTCTCAGTCGTTTTTCTCATGGACCGTGGACACCGCTTGCTCCCCCAGCTTTCTGGGTGGTGCCGTGTTGCTAGGGCTGGGTATGTGCACCGCCCTGTTCTCTCCCCTGCAGCCCCAGTACCTGCTGTACGGAGCCCTCTTAGGAAAGGCATCCAGGCAGGGGGTATTGCCGTGAGCTTCACGGATTCCACCGAGCTTGCCCTCTCTGGGTCATTGTTTCCAGATCCATATCACTTCTGTATCCCAGGCTTTATTCCTTCTTTTCCCTGACGTTTCCTTATGGCCACTTGTGCCAGGCATGTAGGCATTGTCATGGTCACTACTTACCTGAACCATGGGATGTTTTTCATTGCCTTCCTGCATGGTTTGTAGTGTTTAGATCAGTTTCCTTTCCCTTGTTTTCAGTCGTGTCTAGATAGAAAATTATATACATTCGTCCCTTGGTGTTCATGGAGTGTTGGTTCCATCCGCCCCATGGATACCAAAATCCAAAAACTCTCAAGTCCCTTATTTGCTCTTTGCATATAACCCACCTACATTCTCCTGTATACTTTAAATCATCTCTAGATTAATCATAATACCTAATACAATGTAAATGCCATGTAAATAGTTGACTACACTTGTCTTCATTCACGTGTATTCACTATCGTTCTCAGTGCCTGGCAAATTTAAGGTTTGCTTTTTGAAACTTTTCTGGAATTTTCTTTTTTCAAATATTTTTGATCCATGGTTCATTGAATCCACGGATGTGGAACCCATGGATATGGACGTCAACTGTATAGTAAAATGTATAACGTGATGATTTGATATATATATATATATGCATTGTGAAATAGTTGCCACAGTGAAGTTAACTAAACATCCATCACCTCGTAAAGTTACCTTATTATTATTTTGTTGTTGTTATGAATGCTTTACATCTATTCTCGGTACATTTCAGGTATACAGTAGAGTATGAACTACAGTCACCATGCTGTATGTTACATTCTCAAAACTTACTCATAACTGCACGTTTGTACCTTTTGACGAACGTCACCCTGTTTCCCCCATGCCCCAGCTCCTGGCATTCTACTGTTTCTATGATTTTTATTTATTTATTTTTTACATGCCAACCGCAGTGAACCAGAGTTCCCTTACATCTGCACCCTCCCCCAGACTTGTTATCTCTGCTCTTTCTGATGGTAGCCATTTTATCAGGTGTGAGGTGATATCTCTCTGTGCTTTTGATTTGTATTCTCCTGATGGTTAGTGAAGAGGAGCATTTTTTCATATACCTGTTGGCCATTTGTAGATCTTCTTTCATAGAACATCTGTTCATGTCCTTTGCCCATTTTTAACTGGATCGTTCTGTTGCTATTGAGTTGTGTGAGTACTTTATATATTTTAGATATTGATCCTTTATGAGATGCAACATTTGCAAATATTTTCTCCCTTTTTATTTTGATTGCTTCCTTTGCTATGCAGAAGCCTTTTAGTTTCATATAGCCCGACTTGTTTATTTTTGCCTTTGTTGCCTGTGCTTTTGGTGTCATATCCAAAAAATCGTTACCAAAATCAATGTCAAGGAGCTTTTTCTGTTTTGTTCAAAGAGTTGTATATATTCATGTCTTACATTTAAGCCTTTAACCTAATTGAAGTTAATTTTTGTGAGTGGTTTAGGATAGGGTTCTGGTTTCATTTTTTTGTGTGTGCTTATCCTGTTTTCCTATTTATTCAAGAGACTATCCTTTCCTCATTGTGTGTTCTTGGCACACTTGGCAAGTAGTTGATTGTGTAAGTGTGGGTTTATTTCTAAGTTCCATGTTCTGTTTCATAGGTCTGTGTGTCTTTTTTTTTCAGTACTGTCCTGTTTTGATTACCGTTGTTGTATAATATATTTTGAATCATGAAGTGTGATGCCTCTAACTTTTATCTTTTTGATCAAGATTTGAGGTCATTTGTGATTCAAATTTTAGCATTCTTTCTCTATTTCTGGTAAAAATACTGTTGGAATTTTGGTAGAGGTTGCATTGAATCTGTAGGTTGCTTTAGGTAATAGAGATATTTTATCAATCATAATTCTTCCAATCCAGGAACATGGAATGTGTTTGCATGTATTTGTGTCTTCAGTCTCTTTCATTGGAGTCTTATAGTTTTCAGTGTACACATCTTTTCCCTGCTTGATTAAATTTATTTATCAGTCTTTTGTTGTTTTTCATGCTGTTATAAATGGGATTGATGTCTTAATTTCTTTCTTTTCTTTTTTTTTTTTTCCTGAGGAAGATTCTCCCTGAGCTAACATCTGTGCCAATCTTCCTGTGTTTTGTATGTGGGTCCCCCTCACGGCATGGCCCCTGATGAATGGTGTACATTTGCGCCCAGGAACCAAACCCGGCTGCCAAGGTGGAGCACGCCAAATTTAACTGTTAAGGCCATGGGGCTGACCCCTGATTTCTTAATGTTTATTGAGATATTTTATGATGAGTGTGTAGATGCAACTGATTTTTGTGTCTTGATTTTCGTATTCTGCAAATTTACTGAGTTCATTTATTTGTTCTGACAGTTTTTTAGTGGAGGTTTTATTGTTTTCTTTATATAAGATCGTGTCATCTGCAAATTCAGTTTTACTTCTTTTTTTGTTTGTTTGGAGAACTTTCATTTGTTTTCCTTGCCTTATTGTGCTGGCTAGGACTTGTAGTACTGTTTCAAACAGCAGTGATGGGGGTAGGTATCCTTTACTTGTTCCTAATCTTAGAGGAAGAGCTTTTATCTGGTCCCTGTGGGCTTATCATATATGACCTTTGTGATATTGAGGTACATTCCTTCTGTGCCTAATCTTTTGAGAGGTTTTATCATGAAAGGGTTCTGAATTTTCTCGAATGCTTTTCTGCATCTATTGAGATGATCAAATGGTGTTTTGCTTCATTCTGTTCATGTGGTCTACCACATTTATTGACTTCCTTATGATGAACTACTTGCATCCCAAGGATAAATGCCACTTGGTCACAGTGTATGATTCTTTTCATGTGCTGTTGAATTGGGTTTCCTAGGATTTTGTTGAGTTTTTTAACATCTGTTCATCAGGGATGTTGGCCTGTAATTTGCTTGTAGTGTCCTTGTCTGGCTTTGGTATCAGGTTGAGTTGGCCTCCTGAAATGAGTTTGGAAGTGTTCCTTCATCTTCTAATTTTTGGAAGACTCTGGGAAAAACTGATGTTAATCCTTGTTAAAATGTTGATAGAATTCATCAGTGAATCTGTCTGTGGCCTTTTCTTGGGAGATTTTTGATTACCAATTCAGTTCTTTACGTGCTATTCATCTATTCAGATTTTCTGTTTCTTCATGAATCAGTTTTGGTAGGTAGTATGTTTCTAGGAATTTATCTGTGTGTTCTAGGTTATCTAATTTGTTGGCGTATAGCATTTCATAGTAGTCATATGATCCTTTGTGTTTCTGTGCTATTGGTTATAATTCCTCCTCTTTTATTTGTGAGTTAATTCATTTGAATTTTCTATTATAAGTTAGTCTGGCTACAGGTTTGTCCATTTTGTTTATCTTTTCAGAAAACTAGCTCTTAGCATTGTGGATCTTATTAATTTATGTTTTTTAGGAAGATTAGCCCTGAGCTAACATCTGCCACCAACCCTCCTCTTTTTGCTGAGGAAGACTGGCCCTGAGCTAACATCCGTGCCCATCTTCCTCTAGTTTATATGTGGGATGCCTGCCACAGCATAGCTTGACTAGTGGTGTGTAGGTCTGCACCGAACTGGCAAACCCCAGGCTGCTGAAGCAGCATAGGCGAACTTAACCGCTGCACCACCAGGCTGGTCCCTTTTTATTATTTTTATAGCTTCTTCTTTATTTATTTCTGCTCTGATCTTTGCTATTCTTTGTTCCGCTAACTTTTGTCTTAGTTTGTTGTTTTTCTAGTTCCTCAGAATGTAAAGTTGGGTTGTTTATTTGTGATCTTTCTTTTTTCTTAATTCTGGCATTTATCACTCTTAAACTTTCCTCTTAGAACTGCTTTTGCCCATTCCATATGTTTTGTTTTCATTTTCTTTTGGCTCAAGATATTTCTTTGTTTTCCTTTGACCTCTTGATTGGTTAGGGGTGTGTTGTTTAATGTCCACATATTTGAATTTTTCAGCTTTCATTCTGTTACTGATTTCTAGTTTGATCCATTGTGTTAGGAGGAGGTACTTGATATGATTTTAGTCTTCTGAAATTTGTTAAGACTTGACATAAGACAATCTGTCCTAGAGAATATTCCATATGCATTGGGAAGAATGTATTCTGCTAAAGTAGCATAGAATGTTGTTTATATGTCTGTTACATCCATTTGGACTAAAGTGTTGTTCAGTTCAAATATATCCTTATTAATTTTCTGTCTGGGTATCTACCCATGATTGAAAGGGGGATATTGAAGTTCCCTCTTAATGTTCTCTTGCTGTTTTTTCTGCCTTCAGATCTGTTTGTATTTGCTTAATACTTAATTTAGATGGTTTGATGTATGGTGCATATATACATGCAGTCGTTACGTTCTCCTGATGGATCGACTTCTTTGTCATTATATAATGACCTTCTCTGTCTCTTCCGACAGCTTTTGACTAAAAGTCCCTTTTATGTCATATATGTATTGCTACCCTTGCGCCCTAGGTTTCCATGTGCATGGAGTATCTTTTTTAATCCCTTCACTTGCAGCCTGTGTGTGTCCTGAAAGCTAAAGTTACTCTATTGTAGGCAGCATAGGATCTTGGTATTTTCTTCTGTTCAGCCACTGTATGTGTTTTCATTGGAGAATTTTATTAGGACCTACTATTGCCATTTTGTTAAGTATTGTCTGGTGTTTTGTAGTTCCTTGGTTCCTTTCTTCCTCTCTTGCTGTCCTCCTCTGATTTTCCGTGATGATATGCTTTCATTCCTTTCTGTTTCTCTTTTGTGTATCTACTATAGTTTTTTGCTTTGTCATTACCATGAGGCTTATATGAAACATCTTATAGTTACAGCCTTGTATTTTAAGCTGATAATTTAACTTGGATCATGTACAAAAACTCTAGCCTTTTACTCCCCCCATATACATTTTATGTTTTTAATGTCACAGTTTACATCTTTTATATTGTGTAACCATTAACAAATTATTACAGGTATAGTTATTTTTCATACTCTTTATCTTTTCCCCTTTATACTAGAGTTGAGTGTTTAATGCACCATTACAGTATTAGAGTATTCTGAATTTGACTGTATACTTACCTTTACCAGTGTGTTTTATGTTTTTGTGTTACTAATTACTGTACTTTCAATTCAGCTTGAAGAACTTTAGCATTTCTTGGAGGGTGGGTCAGGTGGTGATGATTCCCTCAGCTTCCGTTGGTCTGGGAGTCTTTTTCTCTCCTTCATTTCTTTATTTTTAATTTTTATTTTGTTTTTAATTTTTTGCTGAGGAAGACTAGCCCTAAGCTAACATCTGTACCAGTCTTCCTCCACTTCGTATGTGGGACGCTGCCATGGCATGGCTAGTGAGTGGAGTAGGTCTGCACCCGGGATCCAAGCCCGTGACCCCTGGGCCACTGTAGTGGAGCGCGTGGAACTTTAACCACTCGGCCACAGGGCCGGCCCCGTCTCTTGCATTTCTCAAGGGCAGCTTTGCTGGTAAAGTATTCGTTTGCAGTTTTTTTCTTTCAGCATTTAGAACATCATCCCACTCTCCCCTGCTATGCAGTGTTTCAGCAAAGAAAACTGCTCTTATCCTTATGATGGTTCCCTTGTATAAGATGAGTTTCTTTTCTCTTGCAGTTTTCAGCATTCTCTTTTTCATTACTTCTTTATTTTATTATATGTCTTGGTGAAGTCCTATTTGGATTGAACTTGTTTGGGGACTTATGAGCATCATGTGCCTGGATGTCCACTTCTCCCCCAGATTTGAGATGTTTCCATCCATTATTTCTTTTTTTTTTTTTTTGAGGAAGACTAGCCCTGAGCTAACTACTGCCGGTCCTCCTCTTTTTTGCTGAGGAAGCCTGGCCCTAAGCTAACATCTGTGCCCATCTTCCTCTACTTTTTTTTTTTATGTGTGGGATGCCTACCACAGCATGGCTGCCAAGCAGTGCCATGTCTGCACCCGGGATCTGAACCGGCGAACCCGGGCCGCTGAGAAGCGGAATATGTGAACTTAACCGCTGCGCCACTGGGCCGGCCCCCATTATTTCTTTCAATAAGCTTTCTACCGCTTCCCCTCTCTCTTCTCCTTCTTGGGCTCCCATAATGGGAATACTGTTTTGTTTCATGATGTCCCATAATTCAGGTAGGCTTTCTTCACTCTGTAGTTCTTTTGTCTTTTTTCTTTGAGTGGATGATTTCAAAGGACCTACCTTCAGTTTCATGTTCATTCTTTGGATTGATCAAGTTGGCTATTGATGCTCTCTATTGCATTTTTTCATTCATTATAGTCTTCAGCACTGTTATTTCTGTTAGGTTCTTTTTTGTATTTTCTATCTTTCTGTTGAAAATCTTGTTTTGTTTGCATGTTGTTTTCCGTATTTTGTTGAGTTGTTTATTTCTGTTTTCTTGTAGCTTGCAGAGCTTCCTTAAAACAATTACTTTGAAGTCTTTGTCTGATGGTTCATAGATATACATTTTTTTGGTGTTACTGATGGCTGATTGTGTTCTTTTAGGGGTGTCATGTTTTCTGTATTTTTGTATTTCTTGCAGCCTTGTGCTGGTGTCTATATACAATACATGGAGCAGTCACTTCTTCTAGATTTGACTGAAAGGTTTTGGTGAGGAAGCTCTTCACCTATGTGAGGGTGTAGCTGTACCATCTTTGGGGTCTGACAGTTCCTACTACAGGAAAGCCCAGCAGTTTAGTGTCTGTGCAGCTATGTCACCTGAGGTCAGCATCAGCGAGATTGCAGGGGTCTTCAACAGCTAAGGGTGTAGGTGTTCACAGCAGTGGGGAATACCACTGGGGACCTCCTGATCTCTTTCTCCCACGGGAAATATTTTGTCTGGGATTCCCTCTTAATGCCAAGTCTGGTTCTTGGGTGCCTTCATGGTGGTGGTGGCGGCATTGGTGTCCGTGGTGCAGGTATGGATCTGGGTTCTAAGGTGTGAACAGATGTGGAGTAGTAGTAGTTCTAGGGTCCCAGATGCTGAATAGCCTGCAGCGGCATTGAGTTCACGTTGTAAGATGCAGTCATACACTGAGCAGTGATGAAGCCTCTGACCAGGACTGAACACAGGCAGTGTCTCTGGGGTCTGAGCAGCTGGCTAGCCCACAGCAGCCATGGTTCTGGTGCCTGAGGTACAGGCGCTTGGGTGATAGTCTTGGAGTAAGGTTGTGGAGCATGGGCAACCCTGGAGCAGTTGTGGCTCTGGTGTCTGGGGTGTGTGCAGGGTTGAAGGGATGGCTTCTGCTCATGGAATGAAGCAATAGCTTCTGCTCTCGCAGGGGCGCAGCTTAGCAAATTATTCTCTGGCAAGTTTCCCTTGGTGATAGCTGTTAGTTACCTTAGTGTGAAAACTGCCAGTGTCTCTGAAGAGCAGGGAGATGGGGGGTCCATGTCTGTAAACACTTGGCCTCCTCTGCTGTGCATACTGCTGCTGGCCACAGGTGTCGGGGGGCCGTGGAGGTTCTCTGCAGCAGAGGCTGCTAGGGTCCTCTGCAGGGCAGGCCATTGGGGACCATGATGGCATCTGTCCTTTGGCTGATACACACAGCCTTACCCTTCTTATTTCCTGGTCGTTTCCAGGTGTCTTCACTAAGTCACTGTCCTCAGTGATCTTTTCTGTGTGGTTATTCTCTGTTTTATGTTCCACTGTGTTGCTGTGGTGTTTTCATTGGGCTGTTGAGCCCTCCAAGGGCCAATTTTGATCATAGATAGCTGTCTAATTGTTTCTTGTTGGTGGCAAAGGCTGGATTCCTCCTCCAGCCCACTGAGATCACTCACCTGGATCTCTTTTCTGTGGTCTGTTGTGGGCTGAGTTGCTCTGGGACAGTGCAGGCCATTCACTTCTCCTGTCATTCCCTTAGGACTTGTAGCCTCCGTGTCCCATGCAGTTGCCCAGCTAAGGCTTAGGAGGAAGAGTTCTTTGTGTGTCGCAGGATAGACATGACTACAGCCATGGCAGGCTGGGCTCGGGGACCTGGGTCTGCTGAGTGGCAGCTGGGGACAGTGTGCTTCAGGCCCGTGTTCAGATCGTAGCAGGAGCCTCCCTTGTTCATCCAAGTTTGGTTCCATTGCCTGTGGCCACCCTCCATTTCTACCTTGCCTTCTCCATATTGACACTTTGGTAAGTTGTCAGTTCTACATGTCATTTCCTGTGTGACTTCAAGTCCAGGGATAATCTCCACCTCTCTGGACTCCATGTATGACTCATTTTTCTCACCACTTCTTCTGCAGTGTTCTCCACCAGTGGCCCTCTTGTGTTGGGCTGTGAACTGTGAACATATCCTTAAATTGACCTTGAGCAGCAGCAAATCTGATGTGATTAGATTTTCATGGGCTTGGCTACACCTTCTGCTGAGCCTCACATCAGCAGCAGAAAAGGTCCTGCAGGAAGCTGTGGGCAGAGAACAAAGTGTAGATGCTGCTTCTCCTCCTTGTGTCACATGCTGTCTTTGTATCCTTCTCCTGGCGAGGTCTCCAACAGTCTGTGACCTTAGGGGCCCAGTAATACACAAAAGCCAGCTTCCCCTTCAACTGGATTCCAACTCCCTTATCTTGAAAAGCATCCCATAGATTCACTGTGAGATGAGACAGATGCTCGTTTGTGCTGGGGTTGCCCCTCCCTGTGGTCAACATGTACTTCACCAGGATTTCTTTGCCTTCAGGTTGCTGCTGTGGAGCAGAGGGTCTGGAGGCTCCCTTTGAACGGAGCGTTTCTGTAGAAGTTTCAGCTGCCAGGGCTCCCAAGGCAGCCCCATCTTCCCAGAAGACCCACCCCTGTGAGATGTGTGGTCCAGTCTTGAGAGAGATTTTCCACTTGGCTGAGCAGCAGGGAACACAACACAGCCTGAAGCTGTTGAGGTGTGGGGCTTGTGCGAAACAGTTTGAGTTCAGTGCAAAGTTTCAACGGCACCAGGAACAGCACATGGGGGAGAAACCCTTCAGAAGCAGTGTGGAAATGGCCTCATTTGTGAAAAGCTGCAGATTCCATGTTTCGGGGAAGCCCTGTCCGTCAGGGGAGGTTGGGAAGGACTTCCTGGCCAGCTTGGGACATCGACAGCAACAGACCACTCATACCAGGGAGAAGCCAAACAAAATCATCCAGTGTGAGGCCACTTCACCAAGCAGAAGTCATTACACCTGGGGAGAATTCAAGAAAGCCCTCAGCCCCAAAGGCACACTTATTCAGGACCAAGATGTCCACACTGGACAACAGTGTTTTGTGTGCCGTGAGTGTGGGAAAACATTCAGGTACAAATCCTCATTTGTTATGCACCAGAGAGTCCACCCTGAAAGAGGGCTTCATGTGTGTAGAGAATGTGGCAAATCTTTTAGGCGAAGCTCGGCCCTTGTTCAACATCGAAGAATTCATTCTGGGAAAAGGCTGTGGAAGTGTAGCAAATGTGGGAAATCCTTAAGCCACCAATCTGTCCTCATTGATCCCCAGAGAGGGCACAGTGGAGAGACCAGCTTTGTGTGCAGTGAATGTGCAAAACCTTTTAGCCATAGCTCTGTGTTCATTCAGCACAGGAGAGTTGAAGTTGGAGAGAGGCCTTATAAATGTAGTGACTGTGGGAAATCTTTTACCTCTAGCTCTGCCCTCAGTTACCATCAGAGATCTCACACAGGAGAAAGGCCTTATGAGTGCAGTGATTGTGGAAAGTCTTTTATCTCCAGATCTGACCTTCGTTATCATGAGAGAGTTCATTCTGGAGAAAGGCCTCACAAGTGCAGTGAATGTGGCAAATGTTTTATCACTCGTACTGCTCTCCGTTATCATCACAGAGTTCACACTGGAGAAAGGCCTTTTGAGTGTAGTGAATGTGGGAAGTCCTTTACCCAAAGATATCTCCTCATTACACACCTAAGAGTTCACTCAGGAGAAAGGCCTTATGAATGCACTGAATGTGGGAAAACTTTTACTTCCAGCATTAACCTTCGTCAACACCAGAGAGTTCACATGGGAGAAAGGCGTTATGAGTGCCGTGAGTGTGAGAAATCTTTTAAAAATAGGTGCACACTCATTCAGCACCGGAGAATTCACACAGAAGAAAATCCTTATGTGTGCAGTGAATGTGGGAAATCTTTTTCCTGTAGTTCTACCCTCTATTATCATCAGAGAGTTCATACAGGAAAAAGGCCTTACACATGTGGTGAATGTGGGAAATCTTTTACTTCTAGTTCTGCCCTTCGTTATCATCAGAGAGTTCACACAGGAGAAAGGCCTTATGAGTGCAGTGAATGTGGGAAATCTTTTACCTCTAGCTCAAGCCTCCGTTATCATCACAGAGTTCACACTGGAGAAAGACCTTATGAGTGCAGCGAATGTGGAAAAACCTTTAAGGATAGATCACAATTCAGTAAACACCAGAGAGCTCACACTGGAGAAAGGCCTTATGAGTGTAATGAATGTGGGAAATCTTTTAGCCAAAAATCTAACCTCTCAATACATCAGAAAATTCATAATAGAGAAAGGTCTTATGAGTGCAGAGAATGTGGCAAATCTTTTACCTCTACCTCTGGCCTTAGTTATCATCAGAGAGTTCACTCAGGAAAAAGGCCTTATGAATGTGGTGAATGTGGCAAATCTTTTATCTCTAGTTCCCACCTTCATCATCATCAGAGAATTCACACAGGAGAAAAGCCTTATGTGTGCATTGAATGTGGGAAATCTTTTACCAGTAGTGGCACCCTCACATATCATCTGAGAGTTCACACAGGAGAAAGGCCTTATGAGTGCAGTGAATGTGGAAAATCTTTTACCGTTAATTCCACCCTCCGTTATCATCAGAGAGTTCACACAGGAGAAAGGCCTTATGAGTGCCGTGAATGTGGAAAATCTTTTATCTCTAGCTCCAAACTCCGTTGTCATCAGAGAGTTCACACTGGAGAGAAACCTTATGAGTGCAGTGAGTGTGGGAAGTCTTTTATCTCTAGGCCCCATCTCCGTTACCATCAGAATTCACACAGGAGAAAAGGTTTATGATTGCAGTGAACGTGGGAAGTTTTTTATGAGATTATCTACCCTCTCTCAACATCAGAGAGTTCACACTAGAGAATGGCCTTAGATGGGCAGGGGAATGTACAGTTTCCTATTTAGTGGACTGACACCAGAGGAAACTGAGGAGCCATCTGTTGGAATTGATACTCATACATCTGAACATGGCAGTGGGGAGATTTCCTATAAGATTAAGTCATGAGGGAAAGTTGTGTAAGTATGTTGTCCTTTCTAAACTGTCCAAGGCTCTTTCTAGATTTATGTCACTCCTAGTTTCTGTGGCTAAACCATTTCGTCTTTACCACCTGGCAGGTCCACACAGTGTGTGTCAGTCACCACCCCAGTGTGTTCAGAGAAGCTGACCTCTGTTCTCCCACGTATTAGAGCAAGTTAGCAGTCACCTGAGCCCTCGGGGGTCAGCTTTCCCTCTGCCTTGACTACCTTGCACATGGACCTGAGTCACTGTTGGCCCAGAGAATACCATGAGTTGGGCTGGCAGCTTGCAGAGAATGACTGACTTTTTCAGGACGTGTGGTGTCACATGATACTTGGGATGAACTTTTCCAGCTTCAAAGTCATGAACTTGAACTGCGTGCTGCACGTTGCTTTGTCTGATACAATAATGAAGGCCTTACAGTTTAAATCCTCCTTCATCTAAGGTGTTTATTTACTGTGTCGGGTAGTTCATAAACAGATTTTAGCTCTACAAGCATGAAGGGGTGAAAGACTTTTTAGGTGTCTCATACTTTGCCTGAGGAGAGACAGTGTGATGACAGAAAATAACTTGCCACTTTTGACAGAATTTCCATTGCTGCTCACAGCCTCCCAGGAAAGACTGCAGGGCTTTCTGGTCCTCATTTGAGGCCTGGATGCTGTGATTCAGGAGGCTCAGTGATGATCCTGACAAGAGGGTTGGTGTGAGAACTTCAAGTGCATTTGAGAGTAGCAGAGATTTTTTTCCTTGTGGGGTTCCCTGACCGATTATCAACCCACCCCAGCAGTGAGAGCTCTGAATCTTAACTGCTAGACCACCACAATGTAGGGTTGTAAACTTTTCCAAAAAGAGTGGGACATACAGATTTTCCTTCCTCTTGAGCCTTTTTTTTTTTTTTTTTTGTAAGGAAGATTGACCCTGAGCTATCATCTGTTCCCAATCTTCCTCTGTTTTATGTGGGATGCTGCCGAGTGTGGCATGAGGAATGGTGCTAGGTCCTCACCAGGGAACCCCTGGCTGCCAAAGGACAGCCTGCAAACTTAACTCCTGTACCACCAAGCCGGCCGCAGTCTTGAGCCAGTTTGTAAGGCTAATGGTATAGTTCACATGTACTAAACTGCATGTATCTAAAGTGTACAATTCTGATAAGTTTTGACATAGGTATGAACCTCTGAAACCATCATCACAGTCCTGAGAATGACCTTAGGTGTCTCGGTATATTTACATCACATCCTATCGTGATCTCTGCTCGACCTTCCCACCTCTCCAGCTACCGTATCATTTACTTTCCTACAGTAGATACCTTTGCATTTCCTTGAATTTATATGATTGGAATCATAAACTGTTTATTGTTTTTTCTGATTTCCTTTATGTTTCATAATTAGAGACCCAGCAATGATGATATATGAGTAGCTCATCTTTTGCTGAGTAATATCCTTATCTTTGGATATACCCCTGATATACCCATTCATCTGCTTATGGGCTTTTAGAATATTGCTAGATTTTTACTATTGAAAATAAAGCTGTTACAAACATTCGTGTCAGTTCTTTATATGTTTCTTTTATCATTTGTCAGTAAGTAAGAGGGCAATGTCTGAACCACAGGGTAGATGAATGTTTAACTCTAGAAGAAACTGCCAGACTGTGATCTACCATGATTGCTCCCTTTGCACTCGCATCAGGAGTGTGTGAGGTCGACTTCCTCCAGATCCCTTTAAGTACATGATAGGGTCTTCAGTGTCAGCCTTTTAATAAGTGTGTAGTGCTATCTCAGTGTCGTTTTAATTGCATTGCCCAAAGAATTCGTGATTTTGAGCATTTTTCATTATTTCCCAATTGTTTATTTTTTGTACGATTTCTGTTCCTTCCAATTGCCTAGTTTCTTACAATTGAGTTATGGCTATTTCCCTCTTCATTTTCAAATGAGAGTCTGAAACACAAAGACATTTTGGAGTTTTACTCTGTTAAACGGTGTGAGTGACATTTTTTCTGAATGGAGTCATTGTAAATACTGGAAGGATATTTCCTCATTGTTTTTCACAAAGATTTCTGTCACACACAATGTCATGGCCAGAAACACCCTACATGGCTAAGTTTCGTCTGCATTGTGACCTTAACGTCCATCGCTTGAGTCCCGGCATTCAGTAATACAGGAAATCTAGCCCCGGTGCGTAGTGTTTGCCAATTCCCCAAGTGTCAGTGCTCCCAGTGGAAGCGGGATGTGCTCAGAGAAGGAGCGCAAGATTCCACTCGGGTCCGCGGGCTTTGGCGGGAAACCAGCCTCGGCGTGTGCGGGACACTCCCCCAGGCCGGGCAGCAGCTGCGGGGCTGCGGGAAGGCGGGAGGCTGCAGAGGCCTCACACGCGGGTCAGCGGCGAGGGTCCTCCCCGAACGTCGGGGGTCTCGGAGACCCGAGTGGCCTCGCCTTAGCGACGAGGGCTCAGAGCTGACGGTGGCGCCTCCGACCCCACCCGGGACCTTGTGAGCGGGTCCCCTCGGACCGCTGTCCGTCTCGCCATTGGCCCCCTTCCCTCCGTCCTCACTGCCGGGTGGTCTCCCAGCGGGGTCCCCTGCCGGGCGTTCCCCGCGCTGTGGGCCGCTTCTCCCGGCGCCCCGACTCCGGGAGGACTCCCGCCTTCCCGCTGGGGCGGCGGCCCCCGCGCCCCCGGGACCCTGGGCAGGCCTTTCCTCCGCGGCGCCACCGCTTCGAGACCCGGGCCGCGTGGGACCGAGGGTACGCCCGCCCACGGCTCCCTGCGCTGCTGCCCGGGAGGCCCCTGATGCCGCGGCCCGGCGCCGACCCCGCTCCCGCCCGCCCGGCAGCGCCCCGCCCTCCGCCCCGCGGCCCGGGACGCGCGGAGCCTCCGGTCCCGCCGCTCGGGCGCCCCCTGGCGGCGCGGGGACGTCGGCGGGCGACTCGGCGTCCGAGGTCTGTCGTCGAGGGAGAGACGGCCGTCAGCCGGCGAGCCCCAGACGCAGACGCCCAGAGACCGCTCAGCAGGGAAGATGCCGAGACCCCCGGGTAGCATGTCGTTTGCAAACGACGGGAGATCGAAGTCAGGGGACCTTCGTGAAAGAAGCCCGAGGGGAAACCCCTCCCCTCTAGGGGACCGAGAGCGACCGCCGCCGTCTCCTCAGACGCCGCGAGCGAGGAGAGGAACGAAGCCCGGCAGTGTTGAGAGCAAACTGACCTTCCTAGAGCTGCGTGCCCACAAAATTACTCTCCATCGGTGCAGGGAGACGGAGCCTCCGTCAGCCAAGCAAAAGGTGAGGGCCTTGGTGGCCCGTAAACCTGCCAGCTCGGTCCGTTCGGGGCGCTGTGCCGAAATGCCCCAGGCGGGGTGGCGTGTGAGAGTCAGCGTTGGTTTCTCCCAGCGCTGGAAGCTGGGCAGCCCGGGTCAAGGCGCCAGCCTGGGCGAGTTCTGCGGTGAGGACCCTCTTCCCGGTGCGGAGTCAGCCCTTCTTGTTGCGTCCTCACGTGCGGGGAGGAGCTGGGGGTCTCTGAGGCTCTTCCTAAGGGCACTGGTCCCGTTCACGCGGGCCCCAACCTGGTGCCCTGAGCACCTCCCAAAGGCCCGGCTCCAACACTATCATCTTCAGGGGTTAGGATTTCAACATGAATTTGCGGGGACACAAACGTTCAGACCATAGCGCCTGCCTTCCAAGAAATGTAACAGCACTTCTTTAGAGACAAGGAGAATGATCTTGGTCAGATACTCGGATCTAGATAAAGAAAGAAGAGCGTTGAAGAAGGAATAAGCGAAGGAAAAATAAAAAGTGTTTTTTTTTTTTCTTATTCTGAATTGATTGACAGAGAACCATTTGTTCAAAATAGTAATACCAACAATATATTCTATCTGCGTATCTTATTTGTATGTGTGTATATATATATGCTTATTATGCTTCTATATAAGTGGAACCAATGACCTCAATGATAGAAAAGACTGGAGGGAAAAAGTGGGCTTGTTTTGTTAGTAGAAGGTACTCACACTACCTGGGAAGTGGTGTAGTGTTATTTGAAAGTGGACTTGGATTAGTTGTCAATGTTGATTGCAAACTCTAGTGCAATGACTTGAAAAGTAAGAAATAAAAAAAAAAAAAATAAGTATAACTGATATGCTAAGAAAGGAGAGAAAATGATATCATATAAAATGCTCAGTTAAAACCACAAAAGGTAGAAAAAGCATGGAAGACAAAAACTAGGAACAAAGAACAGGGGTAACAAATGAATATGAAGAACAGCCCTTTCAGAACCACAAATCTATTTCATTTGTAACAACAAAGCTTGTGTAAGTGAACATAAGCGAGGCCACCTTGTTAATGCTACATGGCCCCAGCCCCTCCCTCTGCGTGACTGCTCAGTGCTCTGCAAGTACTCTGAAAAAATTCACATGCTTTCCTGATTTATGGGCTCTGCTTATGTATTTACTCCCTGATAGCTTGATAAATTAAAACTTTGTTCTATGAGTTTCTCTCTGGGAACAGGCTGACCACACGCGGGAAACACACCTAGGAGATATCCATCACAGCTTAGAAAAGAATGGAACAACGCGATACCTTGAGCTCATCACAGCTGAAGACCAACATGCCTGGACCCCCTCGTCACTGCCCATTTTCCCTACCTACCTACCTTAATATCCTGTCTATGGTTGGAGGTACTTCATATACTATTTAAATATCTTTCCTGTCACCTGTTGTGTGCTGAGTTGTTCTTGTCCAGTACTAGCCACTGACCTGTCCTGTCCCTCCCTTATGATTTGGGCCTTCCAGGCCCAATGTACTGGTCAGCTGTGGCTAGGAGAAGAGTCCTCTGTGCTTCACAGGATGGACATGACTCCAGTCTCAACAAGATGGGCTCACAGGGGGCGTGACCCAGGTGAATGGCAATTAGGGGAAGATGTTATGTCAGGGCTGTGTTCACATCATCCCACGAACTTGTCCTGCTTGTGTTTTGATGCCATTGCCAGTGGCCACATCTCACTTCTACCTTCCCTCTCCATTCTTGACACTGTGCCAACTTGTCCTTTCTACTAGTCATTTTTATTCAGACTCCAGCTCAGGGCTAATCCGCATTCTCTGGACTGCTTATCTCACTCTCACACTGCTCCCTCCACAGTACTTTCCAACAATGTTGTGTCCTGAATTGTGCCCGTGTGTTTTAATAATCCTTGAACACCAGTTACTTTGTGCCAGTCAGGTTTTCCTGGGGCTGGACATAGACCTCTGCACAGCATCACATGGCACCAGCACACGTAATGCCGCTAAAAGCCATTGACAGAAGAATAATGTGCCTTTCACTCTGGGCCTTGCCCTTGCCTTGTGTCCTGTGCCTGATAGGCCTGTCCAGTCCTGTGACCTTAGGGGCCCTAGTAGTGCATAACAGCTGCTTCCTCAGTCAGACCTCAGCTCCCTTTTACTGAAAGCAGTCCCATGGACTGGTTCCTGAATGTATCACATGTGCATTTGTGATGGTTTTGCCCCCTCCCAATAAATTCAATGTGTACTTCACTGTCACTTCTTTGCTTTCAGGTTGTTGTGTAGTGGAAGATGGAGATGCACCTTCTGAACAGAGCCTTTCTGTACAAGGAGAGTCACAGGTCGGGACTCTTAGGGCAGGCTCATCTCCCCGGAAGTCCCAACCCTTTGAGATGGGTGTCCTGATCTTCAGAGAAGTTTTGCCCTTGGCTGAGCACCAGGGAACATATCTTGGGCAGGAAACATACACATGTCAGAAACAATTCTATCTCACTGCCAACCTTCAACAGGGGCAGCACATTATAGAGAAACCCTTCAGAAGGTATGTGGACAGAGCCTCGTTTATGAAGGACTGCACAGTCCCTGCATCAGGGAAGTCCCTTACATGTGAGGAGATTGGGAAGGACTTTTTAGCCAGCATGGAATTTATCCGTCAGTATCTCACTCACACTGGGGAGAAGCCAAACAGTAGTGAGTGTGAGGCTGTGTTTCGCAGTCGAAAAAGTCATCACAACTGGGGAGAATGCAAGACAGCCTTCAGCTGCACGGACACACTTGTTCAGGACCAGAGAGTCCTTGCTGGAGACGGGCTTTATGAGTGCGACAAATGTGGAAAAGCCTGTACCCAAAGATGTAACCTCATTCAGCACCAGAAAGTTCACAGTGGGGAAAGACCGTATGAGTGCAGTGAATGTGGAAAATTCTTTACTTACTACTCCAGCTTCATTATACATCAGAGAGTTCACACTGGGGAAAGGCCTTATGAGTGTAGTGAATGTGGGAAATCCTTTAGTCAAAGCTCCAGCCTCATTCACCACAGGAGACTACATACTGGAGAAAGACCTTATGAGTGCAGTAAACGTGGGAAATCCTTTAAGCAGAGCTCTAGCTTCAGTTCACATCGGAAAGTCCATACAGGAGAAAGGCATTATGAGTGTGGAGATTGTGGCAAATCCTTTAGCCATAGCTCTAACCTCAGAACTGGAGAGTTCACACTGGAGAAAGACCTATTGAGTGCAGTGAATGTAGGAAATCCTTTAGCTGCAAATCTGACCTCATTCAACACCAGAGACTTCACACTGGAGAAAAGCCTTCCATGTACAGAGGATGTACAATTTCCTAATATAATTACACTGGAAGAGAGAACTTGTGAGGGAGCCATCTTCCTGAATTAAAGCCAATGCTTAAACAATCCACAGTGGAGAGATTCTCCTTAAGTTCCAGTTATGTGGGAATCTTTAAGGAGCTGTGTTATACTTTCTAACCTGCCCAGGGCCCTTGCCAGGTTTATGTCACTGCCAGTTTCTGTGGAAGACTTCATTGCACTTTTGCCACCTGCCGGGTCCACACAGTGTGCATCGGTTATCACCCCAGTGGGCTTAGGGAAGCTGACCTCTATCTCCTCCCCACTTGCTGGAGGAAATCTTGAATTCTGCTGCTTGTCAATAAGGACCACATTTTCAAGGACAACATGTCTGTTTCATGTGACACTTATCTTGGATTTTCCCAGCCCCCAAGTGGACAACCTGGGAGCTGCCTGCCTTGTGTTGCTTTGTTTTTGCAATAATAAAGGCGTTATTTTTTAAGCCACCTTTGATCTTAGGGTTCTGTTCACTGCATGAGGTGATTTGGAAACAGTTGGGCTCGGCCAGCATTAAGGAGTGAACAGCTTTTGTGGGGCTCCAATGCTTTGTGTGTCTGAGAGAGAGCAGTATGATGGAAGAATATACCTCTCTTTTCAATTTTGGCCTAATTTACATTGTTTCTCAAGATCTCCTAGGAAAAACTGTAGGGTTTTGGGGTCCTAATTTGTGGACTGGGTGTCAGGATTTTTTGTGAGCTCAGAGAACAACCTGAAGAGCAGGAAGTTGTGACAACCTCCAGTGCTTCTGGGAACAGCATGAATTATTTTCTTGTTCACACTGGGCATTATATAATACTCAGCAATGTTGAGGGGAGTCTCTACCCCAGGTCCTACAAAGGAGCCATGTGTCCTGATGCTCCAAATTCACTAGGCTAGGGTCACTGTAAGACTACAGGGCCCTGGGGGAACCATAATTGGTACAGTAACACTGGAGTGGAGGAGACTGCAGTAAATGGAATGTGCCCCTCCTAAAGTTGTTCAAAAAATACTCCAGTGACTGTGACTGTGAAGGAACAGTGTTCACAGAAGTTCTCAGGACCTCCAAGCGTATGTATGTTTTGTAATTGAGATAATTGTCAAAGAAAATAAAGCTATTGGTTTTGTGGATTCTCTTAGACTTTCTGGGGTATTCACCAAAAGGCCATTGCTACACAGGCCATAGATTGAAGTGAGATCCCTTAGTCCAGTGATGTGGCTCTGTGACCTAGCCAGCATTCCTGTTGACCCAGGTGGAAACAAACTTCATTGCTCATCAATATTTGCTACCACTAAGACAAGGCTGCTCCTCCAAGGCATTAGGAAAGAGAGTCAATATAGGATTGCCAAACCTGATTTTCTGAAAAGAGTAGGAGATCTAGATTTTTCTTTTGAACCATTTTATAAAGCTTTTTTCAGGTATAGTTGACATGCAATATACTGCACCTATTTGAAGTGTACAATTTGTTTAATTTTGACATACATATATAAGCCCATGAAACCTCTTCCTAATCATGATAATGAACATTTCCATCACCCCTAATTTAACCTCATGCCATTTTATAAACTGTCCTTCTCCTCTGCAGACCTCTAGGCAATCATTGATTTACCTTCATTTGTAATAGATTAGTTTGTGTTTTCTAGAATTTTATGTGATTTGATTCATAAAATATTTATTTTTTTTCTGGTTCCACTCATGGTTTTATGTATTTTGAGATTCTTCAATGATGTTTATATGACTAGTTCATTCTTTTTGTTTTGAGTAGTATCTTTTCTACAGAGATACCATTTGTTTATCCAATCGCATGTCTATGGGCATTTGGATAACTTCCAGTTTTGGCTATTGAAAATGGAGCTGCTGGAACATTTGTGTATGATACTCTTTATGTATGTATGTATGTATGTATGTATGTTTCACCTCTCTTGTGTTAGTAACTCAAAGTACAATGCTTGAGTCATAGGATAGGTGAATGTTCAGGTTATTAAGAAACTTCTGAACTGTGATCTAAAATGGTTCTTCACTTTTGCGTACCCACGAGAAGTGTGTGAGAGTTCCAGTTCTTCCACATCCTTGGTAATTCTTGTTATGGTCAGTTATTTGAATTTACCCTTTTAATAAGCAAGCAGTAGTTTTGATTGCCTTTCCATAAGGATTCATGATTTGAGTATTTTTTTCATGTGTTTATTTGCCATCTGTACATCTTTTTTGGTAAAATATATGTTCATATCTTTTGCCTGTTTTCTTTTATATGAATTGTGGCTCTTTCCCTTTTAACAAATAAACAGCTCATTTTTGTTTCTCAATTTTATTTGTGCTAGGCACAATGTAATGACCACATATATCATACACTTTTAAGTTTAATCTGCAAAATTCACATATTCTAAAGTCTAGACTTTCAAGAATAGAATTAATTAAATCCTGGTTTGTATTGTTTGCCAATTTCCCCGGTGTAAATACTCCCACCATGGCTGTTTTCTAACTGCCAACATGATATTACTGAACATGGAGTTGGGAAGAGTTGCCAGAAGCACACAGTTTTATTTCCACCATACTGCTTCTATAGCTGCAAATAACCTTGAGAACATAAATGATAATAAAACAAAGTAAAAGGATTATGAATGACAAGTTTTGAGTATTTATTTAATGGAGGTATAATTGATTTAACATATAAACTGGACAGCTTTCAGATGTACATTTTGATGTTTTGGTACACACTTATACACCCGCAACCAGAAATTTCATTGAAAACATAAAAGATATTCTGTAAAATTGGCAATAATTCAGAAAATAGCCACAGACTGTCTCCCTGCCACAAATTCAGGGCTGGATCTCAAAGAGCACATCTCACCAGCTGAATTGCACAGCTGTCCGCAGTCATCCAGCAGGGGTTGCAAGCGTTGGTGTTAAATTTATCCTCATATGTATTTGAAGGAAAATTTCCAAGTAAATTTCAATATGAAATAAAAGCAAAAGGAATTTTTTGGCAGAAGTCCTAGTATGCAAAATAACAATTTAAACAATTAAGAGAAAATAAAATGATAAAGGGCCAGAAATAATTTTGAAGATGTATCAAAAAATAGATTTAACATACAAGTTAGCTAGATGCATTGACTTGAAATGAGAAGCAGCCAATTTCATTTACATCTGAGACACCACAATAGATATTTAAGAATCCCACGGGGCATAGCATCTCATGGTAGATTACTGCTACCATGATGCCATCTATTAAGGCTACCATACCTCACATCATTGAGATAAACAAGGCCATTCAATCTTCACTGGCAAATACTTTGCTGTTGTAAATGTTCTCTTCAGTGCCTATTTCAACAGCCTCTCAATCATTTTCACCTTCAAAGGTGAATTCAGTTATTCACCTTCGAAGAAACACAATACACCTTCACTCAGTTGCCCATGGGATACCACAAAAGTTCAGCCATGACACACAACCTCTACTGGCAAGACCTTAGTTGGATCCAGCTGTCCCCAGGCACCCAAATATGGCACTACAGTGATGACATCCTCCTGCGAGGGGATTCACTAGACACTCACACAGGACATGGAAACACTCATCATTGCACTTAGAGCAGGTGGGCTATTTCCCACCTAAGCTTCAGGGTCATGCCACCTCAGTGAAATTCTTAGGTTCACCTAGCGTGCCTAAGGACCACTCTATTCCTGATATAGTTAAAAGGCAATTTCCAGTTTTGTCAGCTTCAATCAATCTCAAGCAGGCCAAACCTATTGGGTCTTTTTGGCTTCTAGAGGCAACATGTTCTCCAGCTACAAATACTGCTAAGGCTTATTTATGCACTCAGCCACTAATTGGCCCACTTTGGGACCTCTACAACAGAAAGCCCTAGATTCAGTTTAGACGGCTATACAACAAGCACTTCTTTTAGTGCCTCCTGGCGACTCCATGGTGGAAGCTCTGATGACCACCTCCTATGCTTCCTAGAGTCTCTGGACCACCCACGATGGCAATAAGTTACCCAGGGGCTTCTGGTGCAAAAAGCTGCCTTTTTTGACTCCGCGTTACATGCCCTTAGATCAACAACCAATGGCTGCAGGCTGAGCCCTCTTGGAAATGGAGGCTCTCCCAGGACCTGAATCTGTGACACTCTGCACCCAGGTACTCATTATTTCCTGGGTCATGAAAGCAACACCCCGTGAGCTCAGCATGACCACCAAGGCCTTGATACAGGAGGGGGCCAAATCTGGACTCTGATGTATCCCACCTGAAGGAAGAGGTAGCCTCCCTTGGCCTCCATCTCTTTCCTGATGCCACGGTCCTGAAGGAGGGTAGCCCTCTCCTGGACCCTTAACTACCTGGGGATACCCTTGGGATCAACTAAGTGAACAGCAAAGGGAGAAAACATACTTTCTTGACAGTAATGCCGCGAGTACAAATGATGGAGTTCTCTGGACGGCTGCTGCCTTTCTTCCTCTGAAAAGGACCCCGTCCCTGACAAAGGCTGAGACCCAAGGGTCAGCACAAGTGGCCTAACTCCAGGCAGTCATCTTAGCTTTGGAGGATGCCCTGGCCAACACAACCCTAATTACACTTCTTCACAGATTCCTGTGCCATTGCCGATTCTAGTTCTTTGATGCAGCCAGTGGAAACAAAAATTTCTTATTTGAGAAATTGAAATGTTGTAGTTTCTAATACTGATAAGCATATACAAATATATATATACAATAAAAAATAAAATAAAAGTCATGTGACACAACAACCTTGCTTGTAGATTTATTTTTAAGAAAAATTAAAACATGAGTTGCAGAAATACCTCTATACAAATATTCGGAACAACAACAGCTTTTTTCATAATGGCCAGGATCCTTAGGGGGAGGAAATATCAATGCTCGTCTACTTGTGAATGGGTAATAATTTGTGGTAGATTCATAAAATGGAATATGATTGATTAATATAAAAGAATAAACTACTGACACAAACAAAAACATGGTTGCTTATTAAAAACATTCTGCTAAGTGAAAGCAGAGACAGATGACTATGTGGTATGATTCAATTCGTAAGAAAAGCTTGAAATGGCCAAAATATACTGCCAATGCATATCAGTGGTTGCTCAGGTTGAAGCTGGGAGGAAGGGATGGACTGCAAAGGGCACAGGAAATTTATGGGCTGATGGAAGTCTTTTCCATCATGATTGTCATGTTGGGTACACGATGATACTACACATTTGTACACTCATCAAAGTGTGCACCTAAAATGGTGAATTTTATTGTGTGTAAACTATACCTCATTAAATCTGTTTAAAGACATAAATGATTTGTCCACAGAGAAATAAATGAATGAATTAATAAAGCAGGGAGAAGGAATATGTATACTTTACTGTAGAAAGCTAAGTAAAATGTACACAGTTTGATGGAGTTAGAAAATCGTGAATTTAGTGAAAGACTGATGAAGAACACTATTTTTTCATACTTTCAGAGGCTCTTCTAATATATAATTATAAAGGAAAAAATGGTAACTTTTATGAAAAGAGACCAGATGAAATCACTGTAGCAAAGTGAACCAAGTTGTCATCACCAATATTGAGACGCAGACATCATGTGCCCCCGATAAGATGCACTGAGAAGAACGAAGAAACACTTCTGTGGTATCCATGCCACCAAAATGCATAAACTTAATAATCATGAGGAAACCCACTCCTCATCAACTGAAGGTAATGTCACAAAACAATTAGCGAGCATTTTTAAAAAATAGTAAGAAAATGGTACTCAAAGGAAGAGTGAGAAACTGTTTCAAATCAATGGAAAATAAAGACAAATGAAAAACAAATGCAATTCTTGACATTGGATTTGGTTTTGGACTGGGAAAATTAGTCATCGAGTACATTAATAGGACAACTGAAAATGGTATGTGAATTTCATACTTTTATTGTACCATCATTAAATTTCCTGACTTTGATTGTTGCAGTCAGATTATGTAAGATGTCCATTTATTTAGAAAATACTAGCATATTCACTGGTCAAGGGATATAATGTTCACAACTTACACTTAAGGTGTTCAAAAAAGTATATATATTTTTTGAGAGAGATTAAATGAAGGATAGAAGGGATTTTCCTTAATCTTATAAATAACTTTAAAAAAATCCTATCGGGGCGGGCCCCGTGGCCTAGTGGTTAAGTTCGTGCGCCCCACTGCAGGCGGCCCAGTGTTTCGTTGGTTCGAATCCTGGGTGCGGACAGGGCACTGCTCATCAAACCACGCTGAGGCAGCGTCCCACATGCCACAACTAGAAGGACCCACGACGAAGAATATACAACTATGTACTGGGGGGCTTTGGGGAGAAAAAGGAAAAAAAAATAAAATCTTTAAAAAAAAAACTCCTATCGCAAGGACCATGCCTCATGATCCATTGTTAAAATATGTCTATGATGTGTTAATTTGATTTTGGTAATTATTTCACTATGTATATGTATATTAAATCATCACGCTGTCCACTTTAATATATACAATTTTATTTGTCAGTTGTACTTCAGTAAAATTATTTTTTAGTCTGATGGCTCCGAGTAGATGAACCTGCAGAGACAGGAGGCAGAACGGTGGCTGCCAGGGCCTGGGGGGAGGGGGAAATGGGGAGAAACTGCTTGATGGGTACAGAGCTTTACTTTGGAATGATGGACATGTTTTGGAACAAGTGTGAAATTACTAAACGCCATTGAATTGTTCACTTTAAAATGGTTGATTTTATGTGATGTGAATTTCACCTCAATAAATTGTTGTTGTATAAAAAATTTTTAATATACCTATGCGATTAAAAATAAAGGAGGATAGCTACTCTCTGCACTCTTATTCAGTATTATGTTGGAGGTCCTATTTCATGCAATAAGGCAAGATAATGAATACATAATAATTCGAAATGAAGACACAAAGCTGCTCTCCTGCACCACCTAAGGTGTTGCCTCAAATGTCGTCTAAACTGAGTCCAAACATGGAACCCAATTTACCGCTTTAACCCATCACAGACCTCTGAACTGTTCATCACTTGACACTGTTCTTATTTTCTTATTTGCATGGGACCATCATCTTCTATCATACTATGCACCTCAGACGCGTTGCTTATTGTCTTTTTTCATCAACTACACTGTACATTCATGAGGGCAAGTTTCTTTTATGTTTTGTGCTCTGATATTTCCATGTGCTTAGAAGCGTGCCTAATACAAATAAAGTACACAATAAATATGTATACAATTATGACAACACAGCTTTCCTGTTCCTTTTCCCAACTCTTGATACACATTCTAACTCTACTCATTCACTGTCTTTTCCTTCAGTTTCACTACCCTCAGCGCTCTCATGAAGGGGAAGGAATTATATTTTGGAACAAAGCCTTCAAACTGACTAAGAATCCTGGAAAGCCATTTGATTTAGCTTCCTCCTCTCCCTTAATTAGATCTCGGGATCCTCTCCTCACATTCCACTGGGATTATTTGTTTATTTCAAAAGTAAGTTCTCCCACATCATTCTGCCACCCCAGTTGGATAGCTTTGTGAATCATTTTTAGTAATTTGCTTTCAGCGGTTTGCACAATTCACAAATGTTTTTCAGAGATAATCCCCGGTCCCCATGCAGACACTGTCACTGCACTTACAGGTGAAATGAT